TGATAAGATCCCACATATTCTGATAAGGGTTTAATTCTTTTGAGATAAGTAATATTCCCCCAAAGGAAAACAGTAGGGAGGCTCCTCAAAAATATAAAAATAGAATTACTATATGACCCAGCAATCCCACTACTGAATACACATCCAAAAAATATGAAATAGTACATTGAAGAGATCTCTCCATTTCCACTCTCACTGTAGCTCTACTCATAACACCAAGAAAGGGAAACAATCAAGAGATGAACTCTTAAAGAAAACAAACTCAAAATACATAGGATAATACTATCCAGCTATAAAAAGAATTAAATCCTGTCATTTGTGACAACAATGGGTGCAGCCACAGCTTATACTAGGTGACCTAAGCCAGAACCAGAAAAGTAAGTCCCATTTGATTTCATTCACACATGAAATCCAAAAATTATGATCTTAGAGAAGCTTCGAACAGATTGATATTTGCCAGAAGCTAGGAAAGGAAAGGTCAGGGGAAAGATAAAGAAAAGTTATCAATGGAGACCAGGCTGTAATTAGACAGGTATGAGCAGTTCTGGGTGACATAAATATCTGTGTACTGTATATTTCCAAAAGCAGGAATAAGGGATTTTGAATATTCTCATTGCCATAAAGAAATGAAAAAATCCAAGGAGATTAAATATATTTAATATAAATTTTGCAACATATAAACATATATCATAACAGTACCTGATTCCCCTCCCAAATATAAAAATTTTGTGATTATTGTTGTTGATTATATCAGTTAAAAATAAGCTTAAGATTTAAGCTCTGTTTCACACTCCAGAAAACCCTGATTCACAAGACTAAGTTGCAGGTCTGTGACCCAATTTGCCCTTTTCCACCTCATCAGTTAGCTGGAATATCCAGAAGGAATTAGCTGTGAAGCCATCTGGGCCATTCTCCTCAGAGCATGTGTAACTTACACTGTTCAATTGTATGGTTCTAGAGAGACTGCCAGATCTTGATCTTATTTTCCTCCACAGCATCTAAAATTGGTCTTTGCATAAAAGGGAATGAATACATGTGATACATATTGGTTGAATGTAAGGATCTGCTGGTTTAGGGGAAATTTTTTATAGAGGTTTTGATACATTACTGTCTGTCAACAGTGCATTATAATTTATTTACTCAATAGGCTGCCTGGAAAGGAGCTGAGACCTGAGGATATAGTAGTGACTAAGACAGAAAGGCACAGTCCTTACCTTGCGGGGGAAGAGAAAACCAAACACTTCATGAGATTTCAACAAGCATAATACATGATGCTACTAGAAAGCAGCTGAGAAGAGCCAAGGAAGATCTTTACACTGGTCCTGAGAGAGCTGTCAGCCCCTAGCACCGTGACGGTGAGGAAAATGGTCAGGCTGACTAGAAATGGAGGCTCTTGAAGTAAACATGTAAAAGCATGAAAAGCCCATTGAACACTATGCTACTAACCTGATGATACTTGCTTTTAAAAACATCACTCTGGTGGAGTAGATTATGAGTGTGTGGCCTTCATCAAACATACTTCTGAATTCTTGAAAGTTAATCAAAACCACTTTTGGTCATTGTTTCATCAGAAATTTAGTTTTAAGAACATAGAAGTTTTCTCCAAGCCCAGAGTTCAAGCCCCATGACCAACCAAAACAAACAAACAAATAAATAAACAAGAACATAGAAGTTTTCTTAAGTCCTACAACTCAAAATCTGAACCTTAGCAAGAACCTTAGAGTAGTCTCTAATACATGGTACAAAGTACTCTCAAAGCTTAGTTGCCACTGATTCTACTGGCCTGTCCACATGAATCTATTATTTAGTGTCAATCCCCATCCTGACTCAAACAGACTGGTTAACCCAGTACTGAGCCACCATAGGCTGGGTAGTTAAAGTATCAGCAAACTGCATGAACTTTGGGAATGTGTTTTTCTTCTACTATGCACATGGACTGTGAACCTCTGTGTGTTGGCCAGATTCCTCTGTGTCCCATTCACAAGAACACCTGGGTTCTGAACAACTAGAATATATGATCAGCTACTTTCTTTTATTTCTCTCCTAATCCCCCAACCACCTACCTTCTAGTTCTCTGCTATGTCTGCTATCAGTGCATGAAATTCATGGAGGAACTAAGTCATATCTTTCATAAACCTAAATATAGATTGTTCTCAATCCTGTGGGATGATTATATGAACTTCTGTTTGATTCTACACTCTTTGGAGGTGACACATCTTTCTATATGTTTTGTGACCTGCTCATAAATAATTGTTGTCCAGAAACCCATCTGAACTGCCTGGTGATGACTTTAATTGTTCTCCTGGTAGCAGATGTCCATTTTAACTCTCAAAGAGTCATATAATCATTACAGTGGCAACTTGTCAGCATCTTCAGTGATCTAATAAAAATGTCATTCCTAAAAATTTACAACTTCCTAATGTCTTCCTCTTTTAATCTTTACTAATCTAAAAGTAAGTCTCAATCCCACAATCAATTTCTGTCTGAATTTCCATGGTATGCACTCTGAAATGCATTTTTACACCTGAACACACAAAAAAAAGCTGAACCAATCCCTCTCGGAGACAGGATTATACAACAGAAAGCATGTGGATTAGGAGGCAGCCATAGCTAGGTTCTGATATTGGCTCCACCCTTTTAGAAATGGGGGTTGGAAAATGTTCTCAAATTCTTTAACCTCAAACTTGATAACTTGGAATAATAGATTCTATTCTCTCACAGATCAAGATGCAGAATCTGAAAGTAAAGTGTGTGCAGGGTTATTTCTTTGTAGACGCTCTAGAGCAGAATTCTCCCTTGCCTTTTCCAGCCTCTGGTGGCTGCTGGGGGGGTCCCATGGTTTTTGACAGCACAAATCATACCTCTGTTCATTCTTCACTCTCTGGTATTCCTGTGACTCTTTGAATCCTGCCTTACTTATAAGGACATCATCAGATTTAGGGATCACTCTTAAATCCAGGGTTAGTTAATCTCAAAACATATAACTAATTACATTTGCACAGAACCTATTTCCAAAATTGTTACATTCTGAGGCTTTGAGTGAACCCAAATTGGGAATAGGGGCTCACATAGATTTAGAATCTATTCTTTTTTTCTCTATTTTTTTATTGTGAATTTTCAATTGCATTTTATTTTTATATTAACAAAAATGCTTCCCTTTAAAGATAAGATAGCATTTGAAAATGCATTATGGCCCAATAAATACAATATTTCTCCTCACATTATTTATACTTAACCCAATGACAATGAATTATTAACATAATTCATGTGTGAATTCCAGAATGATAGGGTACTTCAGGGTTCCATGTAAAGAGAAATAGAAAACTTGCTTATTCCCATCCAATAATTATCTGTGGTAAAGCAGTTTTCTTTTTAAAACTTTATGTATTACTGTTGTTAAAATACTAAGAAATAAATGTGCATCTATGAATTCTTTGCATCTCTGTGGAATATAAATGTTATGAAGAACACTGTGGATAAAAAAATAAATATTTGTTTTTGCTATTCTTCATCTAATTAATTAATAAATTTGAAAACTTTACTGTCAACTAAAGTATTTATGCCTATACATTACTATATTTCTTTTCTATATCTTCTTTCCTCCTTCCTCTTTCCCTCCTTCTCATCTCTAATGTATTTTCTTTTTCTTTTTAACAATTCGTAATGAAAACTTTAATCCTAAGGAACAAAATATTACAAAAGAAAGCAAACAAAAATCTTGCACAGTAACTCCAAAATTCAACTCTACAATGTACACTTAAACTGACAGGACATGGGTATTTTGAGATCTCAAACTTCCAAACAAAGAATATTACAAACATCTATGTATTCATATATAGAAATCATGTAAGGTATTTAAAAGGCAAACTTTCTTATCAGGTTTATACCAACTAGACACCCTCTGCCTTCTTAACTAGTTCAATGGCCCAGTGACCTGCTGTCCTGTGGTCATGACACTTTTAAAGACTGCTTATTCATTTACAGCTGTATATCATACCCCATCTACGAATGAAAGTACACTGTATTTTCAAAAGGAAAAAAAAATAAATAACCTACTTAGGTCATCCCATATAGATTTTTTCATCTTCAAAACTGCAACTGTGCTAGCTCATAAGGTAAGTAACAATTGAATGAAAGCTACAGCCAGAATAAGGAGGCAGAAGTCCCAGCCAGCTTTACTCTTACTCCCTGCTTCCTTTTACCTCCCACTTCCCCTTTGCTTATCTGATCACATTTAGGCTCAGGCTCCAAGCCCAGAGTGGCTGAACTAGTTATCTGTCTTTTCAAGGACCACTAAAAATATGGAATGTCACACTACTCCAAGCTATTCTAAAGAGTAAGCAGTTTTCCAAATGCTTATAGATCTCATCTAAGTACACTCAACTTTACTTCAAGTTCCTGTATGTACAGGTTAGAAATGAATGTACAGGAAATATATCACACAGGCCTATGATGTAGGCTGCTCTGCTCTGCTTTTCCTAGGGCCTACAAAGAAAGCCCCAGTTCTGCCTGGTTATATTTATGATGTCCAAATCTTTATCTGTATTATAATTATTTTCTTACCAAGAGTAGAACAAGTTATCAGGAACAAATGCTGATCTGTGATGTAACTAGAGACAGAGTTACTGATGACCCTTTATTCAATATGAACAGAAACCCTCAGTAGTTTGTAAAAACCTTTACTTTCCTACTTTTTCATACCTTCTAGAAATTTCTGACTTTTCTTAAAAATACCTTATCTCTTGAAAATTAAAGGTCAGCTGATCAGAGCTGGTCGTTTCCCTGACCCTGTGTACTACCCACGCTGTTGCTACTTGTGGTTTGCCACAATTGAACGAAATGCCAGATTCCCTCAGTCACTTCAATGTGAGCTTCTGAAAGCCTCTTTCCACAAATTGAAGCACTTCAGGAGGTTCACACCTACAAAATCTGAACTGTCTATCTAAAAGAAACTAACTGTTACCTGGAGGTTATTCTGTTTGTATAAAACAACCTCTTACCTGGATTGGGTTGAAGGTATTCAATTGTTTTCGTCATTATTTCCATCACAGCCCTGCTGGTGACGTCCACTTTCTGAAATGAGAAAACAAAAACTCTAAGTGATAAAAACCATTAGATTTGGGCTGGGAAGGTGGCTCAGTGGTAGAGCGCTTGCCTTGCATGCTCAAGGCCCTGGGTTCGATTCCTCAGCACCACATAAGCAAAAAGAAAAAAAAAGCCGGAAGTGGCGCTGTGGCTCAAGTGGTAGAGCGCTAGCCTTGAGCTGAAGAGCTGAGGGGCAGCGCCCAGACCCAGAGTTCAGGCCCCACGACCGGACCCAAAAAAAAAAAAAAAAAAAAACCATTAGATTTAAAAGGAGCCTTAGCTTTTGTTTCCATCCATACATGACCACCAGTGTATGGTGACAGAGTAATGACACATCCTGCAGCGGATGGTGAATGGCCAGGAGTGGCCCCACAGCTACAAGGGCTGCCGTCAGCAGTGCCATTAAGTTGAAAATGTCCATTCATCCAAAGAGGAGGTGGGTAATTCCCTGAAGTATGTTTCAGAATATACTTCATTATCTTCAATATTTTGCCCCAGTCTTTTGCCGGAAGCTGCAGTAGGCCAGGGTGAAGATAGGTTTCCCTGAACCACAGAAGAGTAGTGCAACATCAACTATGCTTACTCAAAGAAGGGAGGAAAAGTTTTTATTTAACTTCTGAGATTATTATTAGGTACATAAAGATCTTCAGTAAAGACTTCTAATGAATCTTGAACATTTGGCCAATTCCAAGCCAAAATCCTGGTGATAAGAGTATGTCTCGCTGGGCACCAGTGGCTCACATCTGTTATCTTAGCTACTCAGGAGTCGGAGATCTCATGATTGTGGTTCAAAGACAGCCTGCGAAGGAAAGTCCCTGAGACTCTTATCTCCAACTAACCACCAGAAAACTGGAAGTGGAACTGTGACACAAATTAGTAGAGCATCAGCCTTAAGGGAAAAACCTCAGGGACAGATATCAATGAATAGAGTTTAAAGAGAAATTCAGGTACCAATAAAGTTCATGTTTGTTTGTTTTGTCAGAATCCAAGATTCCTAAAAAATAAAAACCCTAAGAAATATCTATAACTTATTGAATCCACAAACAAAATCAGCTTTTCATGAAATAACCTTCTCTTCTATAATTTACCCATTATTGTTTCATGTGCAGTTCAATTTTTCAGTATTTATTATTTCCTGTCTCACAGCAGTCACATCACTGTATTTGCTGTAATGGAAATAAACATTGGAAAACATTTTTTTTTCCTTATGAGGTAGTCACTCTATGAAGTAGCCTCAAAAGTACCCTAAGGACTGGGATGTAGCTCAGTGGCAAAGTGCTTGCCTAGCAAGTGCCCAGTAAATTTGATCCCTTGTACCAAAAAAGAAAAGACAAAAATAAATAGAAAAATAAAAATAAATAAATAAATATACCCTATTTCAGCCTGCATACAAGTTCTGTGACCTGTCCTTCTGATTGATTCAAAAATTTCAGTTTATTTTAGAACTGAGTGTGTGGTAGGCAGTGATTGGTTCTGAAATAAATGGTGGTCCCTAAGATTAGGTACAACTTCTGCTGTCATTTGTGGAGGTCCTGGCACTATTGGTAAATGTCCACTCAACTTCTATATGCTCAAGTCATAGAATGTTTAATTCAAAGATTGTGTGCAGAACAAGCAGGTGTAAGTCCTGAGTGACAATGTACAAACTCAGATCTCCTGCTGACTATATGACAGAGAAATATGTAGGAATTAGATGTCAAATGTATTTAGATGCCCTTGTTGGCAATGATGGAAAAAAAAAAACAAATACTAAGTTCAAAGTTTTTAAAGAGTAGTATCATATGAAGATATCATGATCTCATCAGTTACTAGGAGGCTACCAGCTTTTAACTTTCCTCACCTCTGGCTTCAATTATACCTATAACCATCGACATCATAAGACACTTTTTCTGTTTGTCAGAAATGGGTATGAGGGATTTAAATATTTTTACACAGATAAGAAAATGATGGAAGAACAAAGGGTAAACAAATGCAGCAGTGATTCTCAGGAGACACTACCTTGAAAATGAACTATACAACTTGTGAATGATGAAGGGGTGACTGGGAGAGAGCAAGGGAAGGGTAAAATTGTTCAACAAGAAATGTACTCTTAGCTGGGCGCGGGTGGCTCACGCCTGTAATCCTAGCTTCTGAGGAGGCTGAGGTCTGAGGATCATGGTTCAAAGCCAGCTCCAGGCAGAAAAGTCCATGAGACTTAGCTCCAATTAACCACCAGAAAACCAGAAGTGGTGCGGTGGCTCAAGTGGTAGAGCGCTCGCCTTGAGCTGAAGAGTACAGGGATAGTGCCCAAGACCAGAGTTGAAGCCCTACGACCGACAAAAATAAAACATTAAAAAATTAAAAAAGAAATGTACTCTTTAGTGTGGCCCCTCTGCACATCACCTTTATAAGAATAAAAAAATTAAAAAGCCCTCAACAATGACTTCATCCACATAATTGTCTTACCCTAACCCCTGCAGAAGAGAGGGTCTACTATGCTCACCTGCTGGATCACATGCTCTCAGTTCTCAGATTTTTTCTAGAGGTTGGTGCTGGCAGTACAACTATCTAGCATGGTCAGAGGAGACAGCAAGCAAGGCTGTAACAAGGCTGTATTTCTCATTCAGTATAAAACCCCTCTTTGTCACCCAGCTATATAAATAAGGAAGCATGCCTAGTGCTGGTGGCTCATGCTTGTAATCCTAGCTATTCAGGAAGCTGAGATCTGAGGATCATGATTCAAAGCCAGCCAGGGCAGGAAAGTCCATGAGATTCTTATCTCCAATAAACCACCAGGAAACCAGAAGTGGCACTGTGGCTCAGGTGGTACAGTACTAGCCTTGAGCTGAAGAACTGAGAGACAGCACCCAGGCCCAGAGTTCAAGCCCCAGGACTGACCAAAAAAAATTTAAAAACAGAATAAATAAGGAAGCAAATACTCAAAGAAGCCATTCACTTGGTTCGGAGCAATAGCCCTAGGTCTCTCCTTTGACTTAGGAGATGCCAATATTAAAGAATTATGTTTGGTTTCCAGAATGGGAACCAACTTTTAGAAAGAAATTGGGAATACAAACTATCCCAGAGTCCCCTGGGGCTGGACCAAAGTTATCTGAGTAGGAGTCACTAACACCCTGACCTTTGCAGACTTTGTACTTAACTGATACTCAACATTTCTGGTGATCTAATTTAGGAATCATTATAGAAGAAACTTTCTCTCCCAATCCTCTTGACAAGAGTATAAAATAACTACTTAAAATCTAGCCTTGGAAAAAGATTTCATCCAATACAGTTGCTACTATATTTTCAGGATATGCACCAACTAGAAATAGCTTTTAGCAAATGCACTTACTAGGTCCCTGCTTTTGATTGCATTCTAACAGATAACCATTTGTTAGAATCAATGAGCACAAGGGGAAAAGACCAGTAGCATAGGAATCCAAAGCTTTAATTGTTCAAATGTGCAATCCTCAGTCCTAGAGAAGGGTAATGAGCTTCCTGAGGTCGGCAGGGAGTGTTGGTTTTATGGGAAGCAAAATGTTTCTCAACGTCATAGGTCAGAAGTTTCCAAGACAGAGTAGAACTGATTCATCTAATGGCCATCCACTTTTCAAAAGTTATCTCTTGTAGGGTAATTAATTTTGAACTTTTCTCCATCTCTCTCCTCAATAATAATGTTTAGAACTCTTTTACTAAATCATTCTGTGTTGGTCATAGACAAACCAAGAACAGTAACAGGACAATCCTTGTCAGGTGTCTTCTAGGAAAACTATCTATATACCTAAATAGGAAATATCCAATGGCAAACATTTGCTAACATGTCAGATTTCTTCTGTTGAGGTCTCAGAACTACTTTGCCTGAGGTGACCTGAAATCATGATCCTCCCAAACTCAGCCTCCTGGGTAACTGGAACACACAGGCATGTGCTACTACACCTCGATATTTTATATTTTAAATTTCTGGAAAAAATCAGATTATGATTTTATTGCAGATAGTAACTATATGAAATTTAGTTTCAGAGTCCTTAGGTAAAGTTTCCTATGTCAGTGGTTGCTTCTGTGACATAATAGTCCCGCAAAAGGGTTACAATAAAGACTCAGAGGCCCTCTGGCCCAAAAAATTAAAAACCTTTACAAAAATGTATGTACAGATCCCTGAGTTAACATGCTTGCTTCATTATAAACACACTCTATGGAATCTAGAAACTATATTGACCATTTCACCAGCTGCCTTTGTCCTTAGAGACAAAATACACTGTACTGATGAGAATCAAATTATTATTTCAAAGACATCTGAATATTATCTTTCTTCCCACAGAAAAAGGAAGTCAGTGTTTTCTGAACTTAGGTGGACACAAACATGATCATCAAGCCATTCTTTATTGAGCAATACAAGTAATGAGAGCCAGTTTCATACTGTCAGAGACCACATTACACCTCATCCTGCCCACAGGGAAGCGGAAGAGAACTTAAGAGAAAATTATACACCTTAAGTGGAGCACGGATAGTTCATGGATTCAGTAATCAATAATAAGTAGATAAAATTAAGAACCTACTCAGTCGTGGGATAACTCACAGTAGTTATGTAAGTTGTCATATGAAACACTAAAATTTCTCTAATTCTCAAATTTTTCTATCACCAAAATAAAAAAAAAAAAAAAGAATTTGCACACACCCACTTAAAGTACAGAGAAGTCTGAATTACAAGAATTAAATAATCAAGTCACAGAGACACGATGAAAACACCATCCTGGGAAAATATGTCTGGCAGGAGATGCAAACTTAGGCACGAGAAATGTCTTCAATAGCTCTCTGTGATCTCAGGAGAGTAAACAAATCTATCCCCAGACTGCACACAATATGTACTTTTAAAAAAGGCTCACTTTTTAAGCACTAATTTGCAAAGAAAGTTTAGACACCTCCCCGCTGTAGTTTTGAGTTTGGTAATCTTCTTGACATTGGTTTTGGTGGATTTAAGGTTGGTAATCTACTCTAAACATGTAACTGAGAGGAAGCTTATCTTCTTCATGAAATTCCAGGCTAAGCAGATGTCTTAAAGCTTGCCTTATTTGATGATTCAGTACTTCCCAGTGCTTTACAAGAACAGGTGATCAGTGACCAGAGTGCCCGGATCACTACCCAAGAAGGAGACATTCTACACCATGGCAGGCCTCAAGCTCCTACTCTGGCCTCTCATTACTCTGCCCTATTTCTCAAGGAATGGCATTATTGAAAAGGAATGTTATGGGTAGCAAATTAATTAATCTTTATAAAACTCAAGAGATAACTAGTGTGCTTCACATGACAGCTGGGAACTGTGGTGTTAAGTCTCCACTATTTCAATGTGGGCAGTGACAGGATATTTGGTAAATTATAGGATTTTTACATAAGAGCTCTAAAAGCCAAAAGTCCTTTCTTGCATTTAACAAGAATCTAAATAGAAGCCCTATGGCATCTGTTCCTTAATCTTAGCTGCTCATACTGAGCTGGATGGAAAGATTGAACCCCTCTCTACCCAGTGACAAATTCAGTGTGTGAGGACAAGTGCATGAACACTCCCCCTCAGTCTACTCTGCTAACGACCTTCACCTGCTCACTCTCTTGTAGAATGGCAGAGTTCTTGCTCTCCTCCAACATCATGCCTTTCTTAAAACTTAGAGCTGCTTCTAAAGAAAAATTTCATTTTTATTACAAGGCATTTTGCCATGTTTCCAGGACTAGGGGCCCTTTTGATGTAAACAAAACAAGGAGAGACTTTGCACGTCATATAGACACTAGCCCCTTGATAAAGAATTACTACATTACTCATGCATATAGGAAGAAGAGCTACTCTGGATGGAGCTCAGGAACTGCCTACTCCAGGAAGTCACTACTGTACTAAGTACCCAGAGTAAGCATCACTTCCAATCCTCTCATGGGAATCCTGCTGATTTGAGTGCCACTTTTTAAATAAAAATGCAAAGTCTGGGCTGGGAAGGAGGCTCAGTGGTAGAGCCGCTTGCCTTGCATGCTTGAGGCCCTGGGTTCAATTCCACCACATGAGCAGAAAAAAAGAAGCCGGAATGGTGCTGTGGCTCAAGTGGTAGAGCGCTAGCCTTGAGCTGAAGAGCTGAGGGACAGCACCTAGGCCCAGAGTTCAGGCCCCATGACTGGAACCCCCCCCCCCAAAAAAATGCAAAGTCCCTTGAAAGCAAGAACTGAGCTTCATTCATCTCTGTATTCCCATATACAGTACAAGGCCCAGTGTAGATTTTTCCAAGTGAATTAACAGATTTAAGTAATCCCACAACAAATAAAAAAAAAACATTGAAGCAATTGAAAGAAACAAGAGAAGGAACCAGTTCCTCAAATTCCAGACCTTTCTCTTAGCCAAAAGAAAAAAAAATCTGCAGCTTTTCAAAGAACAAACCTATCTGCACCATAATGAAGAATTTGGTTTGTATTTAACAACAGACATTTGAAACTAAAACAGAAACAAATCACACAAGGCAAGAAAATTATTACAGGCTATATTCCTACAGAGACTAGAGAGCTTGAGGACTTCACCTTCCTCAGGGAACTGTAGGCTGAAAGGCTGGAGACACACTGGGGATTAGACTGCAGCTCAGCTGGAGCTGCAATTGGAGAACCACCGCTAGGAATAGCCACCTCTCTCCCAGTAGTGCTACTTGCTGCAGAGCTCTAATTTATTTTGCTTTTTTTCTCTAATTGTACTTCTAAGAATGCAGCAGAACAAAGACTTCTCTACTCTAAATGTTTGATAATCAGAAACCCAACCATGGCAAGTCCATTCTTCTGTAGATTTAAGAATACTGAGCTAAAATATTTTTTTGGTGAGTAACAGACAAAGCAACAGGAAAGAAAAGATTTGAGATTCTTAATCCCAAGCATATGCTTTTCTCTTACCACAGACATCTTATAAATGTGTGAAAATCAGGTATGGGTAAAGAACACAAAGTCTACATGGGTAAGATAAGCCAAAAAATGTGTGTAAGAACTAGAATAAAACAATTTCTATGCTGTACAGAAGTCTAAATCTCCAAGTTTATATAGGGGAAAATTCTATAAACAGAGTCACAGCCTCTTCAAATAATTAGAAGCTTACTTGATTATAAGAGTATCTAGATTTTGAAATAAGAGCTTCAGGAGAAACAAATCTACTTTATCTTCAGACTCAGAGGGATATCTGTGGATATTTGCCTAATGTGAAAAAAAAATACTTGGCAAGCTCCTCTTTTATTTTAATTAGTTTGTAAAACTAGTATAATTTTCACAGCAAAGTAAGTCTCCAAAGGTCTAATTAGTTGCTTAGTGATTAAACTCTGCTCTGTTCTCTAACTTCTCATCCTTTCCAGTTTTATTTAAGAAATGGAAAGTTGGTTTGTCTTTAGAGAGTGGGCTTCCTAGTATATTAATTATAGTCCTGGCAGACATTAAAAGAAAAGCTAACTCTGACAGCAAGTACTTTAGGAATCTGCAGATTCCTAACACTAGTCTAATCCATCATAAGGGTATGCCTCTGACCACATGGCATCCTATAAATACTCTCAGGAGAGGTAGGGGAAGAGGAACACGACATAAGAGAAATGACTACATGCAGACAGAGGTAGATGCCAATGAGGGACCCGCAAGCCTATTCATAATGATGGATAAGGAGCTCCAATATTACAGGGAATGAAGGAGTCAAAATCAAGTCATTTTGGGAAATGTGTGTCAGTATCGAGAGACTCAAACACTATTGCTCTATCTACAAAAATCAATGGATATGATCTGTGGTTGAAAATCAGGTGGTATTTATCAACATCTCAAGATGAGAAATAAGGACCAAGGCTGACTTCAGTCTAGTTGGGGAAAGCAGCTGAAATAGGTTTAATATGCTTCCAGATAGTAGGTTTAAGATGCTGGTAGGTGCTCATATAAATCTCCTCATTAATAATAATCATCAGTAATGCCAATCCCCAGAACTTAGCTAGGTCAACAATATGTAAACTCATTTCCCAAGACCCTATCTGTTAGCAATTTATCTTTTTTTTTTCTTCCAGAACTTGTGTTCTCTCCTCTCTTGATTGACTGCAGTTTTACTTACCAGAAACACACTAGGCTCTGGCTCTTGGATTCCAGAGGTTCACTGACAACCTTGTAGGTGACCATTCTGTGCCAGGCATGTCCAAATCCAGTACCATGACATGTTAGCCTGTCCACACTTATCATCATATGTCCTAAGGCCATCTTCTCTCATTAGACCACAAAGTTCACACACTCAGCAACCTCATCTATCTCCTACATTCCTTTCTCATAAGAAGCACAAAGCAAATGTTCACTGAGTTTATCAGTGATCCATTCATCAAAAGAAAAATCTAAAAAAGACACAAAGGAAACACCTGAATATTTCTTTCCTTGAATCTTCACAAATGTAACAAAATGAAAGCAAAACCAGGGCATCAGCCCAGTAGAAATAATGTACACTAAGGAAAACAAATATCAGGCCCCTAAAAATCTGGTGTAATCAGAATATAAGAAAAATCCTTTTTGTGGCAGGGGGAAATTGGTTTGGCTACTTGATGTTAAATTTATGGCACAGTAACAGGAAAAGGTTGTGTCTGTGTTTTTAAGTTTTCTTTATTCTGTTTTTTTGCTACTATATAAGAAATTTATATTTTCTGAAATTTATTTTTTAAACTTTTCATGCATTTTACTGTTTCTAATTTCAAAATGTGATATTTTTAATAAACAAGAAATTTTCCATTATGTGAATGAAATTTTAAAAGAAAAATCCTTTGCTACAATCACATACCAGATGTAATATTTTTAACAGTGCTTAAGTATAATTGCTAAGTATCACAGGCTTCTGGCATTCTCTTCCCTTCAAGTACAGGATTTGTGCTTCTAGATCCATTACCCACCTGCTATTTAGCATCTAAAATATTTATTTATACAATTCAGTATACACTTAATCATAGCCTAAATTTCATGTTTCGTGAACTACCTCAAAGTGAAAGAGAAAATATGGCTTATGTCTCAAGAGACATGAAATGCGGTACTTGTTTACCATCTCCACACTGGCTTGTTCAGAACCTGCAATTTTTTAGGCAGAATGCTAAATGGTTTGAATTATTTTGACTCCTTAATAAAAATTTCCCAAGAAGGTATTACTATGCTCATTTCAGTTTTTATAAGAAAAGAAATAGAAACTCTGAGCAATAGCTGGACTTTGAGTACAGGCCAGCCAGCCTTCAAAATTACACAAGCTCTCCACTAACCCCTCTGCATCTGGCTCATACCACCTTGTCAGGAAAGTTCTCTACTGACAGAAAGGGACTCAGATTCTCCCAATAACATCTGGCACATCATTCTTCCCGTTCTTCTCTTATCTCCCCCAGCCACCATCCTCATTCAACCACATCTCCACAATACCTATGTTTGGGAAAGTGAGTATGAGATTCATCAGAAAAGGGGCACTGTGACATTCTGTATTCATTTGGGGAGGTGTTGTTTTTGAGAAGATACAAAGGGAATTATGGTATATATTAGAAGGAGAGCATCAGCTAAAAACAATCAAAAGTGTATTCTTGGGTACCAGTAAAGAAAAGTTTCCCTTTCCCCTTCTTGTGGTAGGTAAGTTTACATCCAAGGAAAAGCTAAGAGGGAGGACTTACCCGCTCCATCTCCTTGAAGTCATCATCTAGCTTGGTTCCTTCTGCTCCTCCGACCTTCTCACTCACTTTCTGTAGGAAATAACCAAAAGCAAGATATCAGATAGATATCTTTATAGTATTTTTTTCCCACAGCAATGTGTTGAACTTTTGGGGCACTTTTGGAAACATCACCTGATTTAATCTCACACCCTTTTCTCATTTGTGAACTTTTGCGGACCATCTAGTTTTCATAGTAAGAAACCAAGACTTGGAGGGTTTAAATGTACCTAAGGCTGTGCACTATGCACCTGGTTTATTGAAGTAAGAACTTGTATCTTCGGCTTTAAACCTTCCATGCTCTTTCTGTTATATAAATCATTACACAACTACCTAATCACTAACATTTTCCTCTTGAACATTCTAAGAAACAACAGCATCATGTAATAATAATTTTCCTCTGATAATGGCTCTGAAATGTTCCTAGGTAGAAAATTGCTACTTGTTCAACCTATTCCTCAATGGACTATTGAACAGATAATCACAAGCATCTATCAAACTATTAAAAGAGAATCATCCCTGCTGATTCTAGATAAAAAAGACTTGCACACTGGTCTTAACACAGGGCTCTTCTGCTTGTCTTCATCCAACTAAATGAAATAATGCTGAGCTTTCTTTCATTGCCATACATTCTGTAGTTACCAATTCACATATGGGAATTACAATTTCCACATGAAAAATTAATGTTTATACAAAATTAAATACCTTAAATACCCTATTCTTTTATGAAAAATTATCTAAATTAACAAAATGTATTAAATAATCATAATAAAATACTCTGGCATAATCAAAGGCAGGAATATGATATGCTAATTATACTAGATTTTTATTCCTCCATATTCTAATCATAAATGTGGTTAGATGTTCTCCCTTAAGTATCATTGTACTGTAAATCTGCCTTATTCATGGACTCATTTCATACACTTTTGATAAAGACAGTAGTAACAAAAATTCAAAAATATTTTTAGAGATAATAGTTTTAAATTCCCATGCACATATTATGCATGTCATTTGATGCTGACAAGCTCTCAGTCAGTCCCACATTTTGTCCATTGCACTTAAATTATATGATCTGCTGGATGTTTCTCTTTCCTTATTGTAAATATATATATCTCTAAAAGCATATGGTGCCCAAAAAGCAAGGTGAATGTTAATGTAAGCGGTAAAGCGAATATTTTGGATTTGTTGGAAGGTGGTGTGTCTTTAGCAGAAGCTTGGAAGCGTTATTAGGAAAAACTGTTAAGCATTCACAGTACAGTGCTGAAATCCATGTATCCTAAACATTTTTGGTTTTCCTCAATGGTTGTCTCTTTGGAAGTGTGCACCCATGGATACCAAAGATCTATTATGTTACATCAAGTCTCCACAGATAGACAGACAGATGATGAAGCACATGACTCTTAATTTCCTTCAAAAGCTGCTGGATTTGGAGGTTCTGCAGAGGATCTCCCCATCAACAACCTGCACTAATGTCTGCAGCACTGGCTTTTCGAAGTGAGCTTAAGACTAGTCTGGGGAGAAACATTTGCAAGACCCCTTCTCAGGAGCACAAACCTTTCATCCTAAGCTACAGGAGAGGTTGAAATGGAAGGATTATGGTTCCAGTCGAGCTAACAGAAAATCCTTGAGAAATCAATTTTCACAGAGGCAAGCTGGAACCAGCAAGCTGGCATCTGATTCTAACAATGAAACCTAAAATAGGCAATTCTTACCCAGGTGGGAAGTGGAAATCTATCTTTAATCAGCAGAACACACAGCCGAAAACAGCTCAAGTGGTAGAATACCAATGTAGCAAGTATGAGGACCTGAGTTCAAAATGCCAGTTACCTCCCCTGCCTACACATACACACACACGCACACACACACACACACACACACACACACACACACACACACACAAAGAACTTGTACATAAACTCACAAGATATGCACCAAATTCTAGTTCCCACCTCTCATCAATACATTCTGGTTTCTTCCATCAGTTTATTCAATTTTTATTTCATATTTTGAAAAAACTGCACTCTAATGTTAAGAAAAGGTCAATGATTCAAACTGAAAGGTTAATAAAAACAATATGAATAAATTTGCATCACTGACACATACTTTCCCTGTAATTCATCATTTCATATGAATTCCCTGAGAACTAAGAAATCTTACGGCTGCATAAGTTAAACCACCAGTCCATGAGAAACTATTAGATAAGAAGAGGTGGAACCAGGACCTAAATGCAATTTTCCTATGCCCATCCCCAGGCTTTCCCGTCACACCAGTCACAGCTTTAGAGAGCTGTCCATGGTGCTGCCTGTCTCTGCCTGATGTTCCAATAGATTTAGATGCAAATATCTGGAGAAGGGGCTTTATTGCATTAACTCTTGGTCCTTGATATCAACCTTCTCACATCACCTATGCCCTTAGTGATGCAGATTATCCACTATTAAGCAATCATCACATGTTCAGACTTTGTCTGGAAACAGCGTTACCTAGTGGAAAGCCTGTACCGATTGTGATCTGGCCCAGCAGTTAGGTTCTTTGCACATGAAAGGATATTTACCAAACTGGAAACAGGAAAGAGAAATGAGAAATGCTCTAAGTTAAATTCTAGTAGAATTCCAAGGTTATTTATAACACATTTCCTATCACCAAACTTTATTCTATCCTACTAATTTTACTCTCACTTTTTTCAGTGGCAGTTTTATTTTATATTTCAGCCTTTTGATTGTCTTACTCCTGAAATATATGGTTCATTTTTTAAACTGGACCTCAAAGATATACTCTAGTTGAACTCCTACAAAATAAATAAATACTTGCCACATAACTTCAAATGAATCATCATCTCCATTCCACATGATTGTCTCTGACACCATGTAATATTCATTATATTCTAAACCTGGTTTTTGTCAAAAAATGATCATTATGGGTCACTGTTTATTAACTATGAATTAATGTTTAATTTTATTTACAAATGGATGCAAAATAACTGAGAAATGACTCCATTTATATCATCATAGATATTTGATAATCTAGGGATAATTGAGTTTTTGAATTTTTAGAGAATAAAACAATGTCCTCCAAATCAACAGAATCCATATCAAATTTTCAACACAATATTGCTCAGCTGAGAGTGGTTTTGACTTCCATTTTTTGTGCACCAATAGTTAAGCACCACAGTTACTGGCTCACTATATCAAATGAGATACACTGGCCATTTCTAATTTAGAACTAACTCTTGGGAATTCACAATGGGGCCAACTCATTAGTTATTTTAACTGTTTAGTTTATAAATAGTAAATGCACCACCAAAATCTTGAAAATGGGTATACCAAAAAGAAAAACAAGGAGAAGGAGAGGGAGAGTGAAAGACTGAGAGAGTGAAAGGGTGAGGGGGGGGTCAAGTGGCAAGGAAAAGAGGAAGGAAAAGAGAGTGGGGGGAGAAAAACAGTGAGAAAGAGATCAAGTGAGGTGAGTTTTTGTTCTCTACCAAGTTTTCTATTTAAAGCCCCTCTGAGAAACAGTTGACTGAACACAGTGCCTTTACATATATATATGTATATATACATATATGTATATAAATATACATGTGTTTCATATATATGCTTCATATATGTGTATATATTTCATATATATAGTGAGAGAGGGATAAGAAAATTAGGTAAGAAAAAATATTTATCAACCAATTACTTAGGCCAGTATCAGAATCTAAGCTAATTATATTCTGGGGGCTGAAGGTAATATTAGTCAAAAATGATATCTACATTATTTTCTAAGGCTACTTTTCCAAGTAGCAAAGAATCTAAATATGTCAGGCACTGAATTAAACATTGGACTGAAAAACAAATGACTCATTCATTAGCAGTATGCTACACAACTTGTCCTCTGTTAATTTTCTTTGAATACACATGACTAAAACTTCTCTTGTGAATCAAGGTCAGAAGGATAATCTCCCTGAGCCCATTTGACCAATAATGGAGACTTCTTACTTTCCTTATCTACCACCATTTATTTTATGCTATTATTTTTCAATGAAGTGGTTCTGAAAACTGAATTCTACATTATAAAATATTTTCTCGTGGTGCTTTTTTTTTTTTAATTTAATGCTGGCCATTTGAGAAAATGGACTGCCTATTTAAATGAACTTCAGGAAAAGCTATTTGAATCCCACAGGACAGTAAAAGTTAGCCAAATGTCCATTTTCATCATCTATATATTTAATACAACTTCCAAAATGGATTCTTCTCTATCATCTAACAAATTAGTTTAATGGTCCTCAATGGGATCATTTTCATACAACTCCCAATCTTGTCTTCCATTATACTGTCCACACACTTATATTTCAATTAAACCAAAACCCTTGCCTTTCTCCATCTTTGTCTTCATTATGTTGCTCCCAAGTATGCAGTAAGGGGTTGCCAGACAGATCTGTAATATACTTTCGTGAATACTGCTATCAATACTCTAAGGGGTGGCAAAGTAAGGCAAACAAAATGGACCACTTCACTCTGGGATAGGCACAACATCCTCAAGATAGTAATAATGAGGATACAATGAGCCAAATTTTAGATTAAAAGTTTTAATTCAGGGCCTGCAGTAGTGGTTTGTTATGCTGCTCGTTTTTCTCTATATAGTAAATGAGAAAAAATGTCAAAGGGAACCAGCTGGATGACACAGTTTAAAAAAATGACCACTGTTCCTAGCCTAAGGGATGCTGCACTGCTTTCCAACAATGATTCATCAGCCCCCAAGTTATCTGTCACCTGCAGGCAGAAGACACTCTGTTCTCTAACAGTGACTCTGATTCTTTTCAGCATCACATTTCATTTACCAAATATGTAACAGCAAACTGTACCATCTCTCATTAAACATCTCCTTGAAGGTGTTATTTTTTTTATTGTGAAAATACTGTACAGAGGAGTTACAATTACATGGGCAAGATAATGAGTACATTTCTTATCAAGCATTGTAGCCTCCTCCTTTGTTTCCCCTTCCCATCCCTTCCCATCCTCCCCTGCTCCCCCACCCAATCCTCCCCTGCCCCCACCAAAGTTGTAAAGTTCGTTTTCAACATAATGACTTGTACATCTCATTGTTGCAATGGGTCCACCTGTATCCCTATTTAAATGATTTGTTTTTCCCCTTCCCCTCCACAAATTATACCGACATCAAATATAGTGAAAGCAGGGGTTATACTGTGGGGGAGGGACATATATAGCAACAAAGAAATAATCTTATAAATGTGTTAGAAACAATTGCATGATAGAAAAAAAAACATTTGAATACATATCTTAGGGTTCATTTCCCTAACATCACCTTATCTGACCCTTTCTGCTTGACTCAGACAAATACTAGGTATTGCAAATAAGGGAAACCATGGTACCTGTGTTTCTTTGGGCCTGGCTTACTTCACTTAATATAAGTTTTTCCAAGTCTTTCCATTTCCTAACAAATGGGGCAATGTCATTCTTTCTGATGGAGGCATAGAATTTGTTATTAACACTGAAGGTTTGACTTAAGACCAAGTTTGCTCTTACACTCAACCACTTGCCAATTAAAATCCTCTAGCTTTCTTTGCTTTGTTTAGCTTTGTATCTACGGCTCTCAATACAAGACTGGTCTACCATCTCTACACAGCAAATTCACTGTGTGAACTTTGCCCTTCTTTATAATACATTTTCCTTTTCAACTCTTCAAATACTATAAATTGTCCTAAATGTCCATCCAGATTTTATTTTCTCCATCTGTAACTTGGGGGCTGGTGAGTCATTGTTGGAAAGCACTATGAGCAGTGTTCCTTTGGGCTTGGTAACAGTGATCATTTACTGAAACTGTGTCTTGCTGCTGGTTCCTTAAGGCATTTTTCTTATTTGCTTACATAGAGAAAATTAGTCTCCATCAATGGTGTCTCCGCTTAGCTGGAAATGATCAGACTTCCTTGTGCACTCTTTATTGGTAGTCCTGAGATTTGAACTTAGGGCTTCACACTTGATGGACAGTCATTCTACCACTTGATCTAGAACCCTACCCTTTTGGGCTTTAGTTATTTTTCAAGCAGAGTCTTGCATTTTCTTTCCTGAGCCACTGTGGACTACTAGTCTTCTACTTTATACCACCCGTGTAGCTTGGATCATAGGCATATTCCAACACATCTATCTTTTTTCACTAAAATGAAAGTTTTGCTTTTTGTCTGGGCTGGCTTTTAACTTCAATCCTCCTAGTCTCCAGCAGGATTACACACATGAGCAACCATGCCCAGCCTCTTTTCCACTCTAAGTACTACTAAATGTTGGAAAACACGGAATAAAAACCACCGAATGAGTAAAATTATCAAGGACTTTTGCTCAATTGAACTGTATGATAAAAAGACAAAAATCATATTGCATGTTCCCTATTTTTGTTTGAAAATGTCTGACATCTTAGTAGCTAACATAGCAATTGCAGAGAAGGGAGAAAATTTTTTATGTCAATGGATTATTTTAAGAGTAAAAAAATGGCACATACATTAAAGCACAATGCTTAACTGTGAGTTAGCAATGACTCTGTATTTCCTTTGTGAATGTGAAGGTTTGATCTCTAAATACAGTATTTTGTTTTTTGTTGTGTTTTGTTTTCTTTTGTGCCAGTCCTAGGGTCTAGGCACTGCCTCTGAGCTTTTTTGCAAAAGGCTAGCATTCTATCACTTGAGCCACACTTTTACTTCTGGCTTTTGAGTGGTTAATTGGAGATAAGAGTCTCACGGACTCTGCCTGGTCTGGCTTCAAACTGTGATCCTCTGTGCAAGAGAACTTCAGAAATTGTCAGCAATCATGACTAAAAATAGTATTGTGTGTTTCTTGCAGAGGTAAGGTTTGAACCCAGGTAAAATGATCTATCAGTCATAACTTCTACCAAAATATTATGAAATCTTATTAAGCAACTTACATGAAAGATGAAATTTTGACTTATTTTCACATTTACAAAGTAAGAAAATCTCAATATAATTTAACTAGATTATTAAAGAGCAATCTTACTTAAGGTACAACAATCATCTCAGAGAGAAGTAATTATCCCTAGAGGAAGCTGTCCCATAGCCCAGTATGGTACTAAGGAATCATCACCTCTGAGCACAGAAAAAAAAAGCCGTCCTGTGACTTGCCTTGGAAGTGCTTTTATTGTTACTTACACCCAAACCAAAAAATTGTAAGACTATATTTGATTCCAGGACACATATTCACATGAAAAGGGGAAAGTCAAAATTCTAGCAGTACTCTCTTGGTACTGGTCTAAAAACATGCAGATCATGGTTTTCCAGATGGTATTCACAAGTGTGAAAGGAAGTGGACTCACTTGCTGGGATGGGAATCTCACATTAGTTTGTCTCTGCTGTCATTAAAAATTGGATTGCTTAAATGCCATGATGTTTTCAAAACAGATTTCAAAGAATATGTATTTATTTTTTCCATCCAGAATTCAAGCTCTTTTAGAAAATGTGTACAGACATTTTTATCTATCTGAACAGAACTAATTTGGTTATTTGTTGGTATCAATTAAAATTTGTATTTTGAAAAAATTTAGACAGGTTCTTATTAGATAAAATTCAGTGTTTTTGTTTTCTTTTCCTCAAGGAATTCACCAAGAGAAGACTAGTTGCCATTGAATATCTAAAGCTAAAAACTTTAAAATGTTCACTTGGATGAGCTAAATCCTTGGCCTTGTTCCAATTCCCAGCCTATCTTCCTCCCTGTCAAATAGAAAATAAAGGACAAGCAAAAAATTCTAATTATATAGTGCTTCCATTGTCCCTGCGTTGATTTGTTGGGTTTAAAAGGAATAACCTGTGCTCTTTCCTACAGCACATGTAATAGAATTGATATGATACTGAGAAGATTAGCATGCCCCTGTGTGAGGATGACATGGAAATTTGTTAAGCATTCCATAGTTTAAAAGAAAAAAGACATATTAGTCAAAGTGAAAAAATAAATGATAAACCTTCAAATCCCCATTTCCTGCAAGTGAAAACTTTCCACAGACCATGAAATAAATTACAGATACTTTTCAAAGGAAGGTAGTAAAATTTATTCTTCAGGTTTCATGCAAGTGTTTGGATCTCAGTTTGATACTTTATTGTTATCACCTATAGTCTCATTTTCAAGGTATCTTGTTTTTGTCTTGTAGATAAAGCTTTCAAGTATGTATGACATTCAGATTAAAAGAGCTCATGTTGTCTCTATTCTTCAACTCCCTCAAATAATCTTCATGAAATAAAGGGTAATTTAAGAGGGCAGCTTGGCTGGGAAGGGTGGCATTTCCATAACATTTCCCCTTCTGGCCTTAACAAGAATTTTATTCTTTTTCAGTCTACTGTAATAAGCCAGTGAAGTTAAAATGTCCCATCGTGTCTGCTAAAAATAGACTGACTTGAGGCAGGAATGACATCACCTTGTAGGTTTTTATCTTAGTTCTCTTGAAATGTCAGTCATAAATTTTTTGGAATTAAAAAAAATCAAAGCTTGTAAAGAAAAAAAATAGGCTGAATTTTTAATCTGAGATTTTAGATTGGGTTAATAAATGGTCTAGAATCTAATGCTCATGATTTGATGGACATGAAAAGGTATGGGCCAAGATGGCTTTTAAATACGAAAAACTCGCTGTGAACCCCTTTCATTACTAACTGTTTTTAAAAAAATACCCTGTAAGATTTACCCAGACCTGTTTATCCTCTATATAAAAAAAGTCAGGCTATAGGTCTGGAGAGTTCTAGAACATCTAACAATTAAAAAATTGATTCCTATTTCTGTGATAGTTTTACATTTCACATCATTGGGCAACAAGACCCAGTTAATCAATCCAACAATATCAAGGCATTGATGTGAAGATATTTTACATATATTGTTGATATCACAATCTGCAGAACTTAAAGATCATCCGTGATAATGTGGGCAGGTTTCATCTGACTCATCTAATCAGATGAAAAGCTTATAAACAAATCAGGTTTTTCAGAGGGAGCAGATTCTGAAGGGCCCTACCTGATACAAGTACTGCCTGATGCAGAACTATTTATAGCAGAAAGGGTAGGCCTTAATTAGGAAAATGATGAAAAAAGACTATGCAAAGAATTTGAAGAGAAAATGTAACATGCTATTTTTTCTTCTAGACTAAAGTTATTTTGGTGCAAATACCATTCTGTCAAAAAGGAGACAATTAATCATCTTTAAGTTAAACCACTAAAGGGAACAAAAACAATGGTGCTCAGATTAATGTCTAATATGTATCTGGACTCCTGCTAGAACTAAAACCCAGGTTCCACATTTGCACCCAATAAAACTGACACCCAGGAAGGGTATATTTGGTTGTCTATAATCACTAGGCAAACCTAATGCATGAAAACACTTAAAATTTTTAACTTGCTTTTCATAATTGTATATATTGCTAAAAATTGTTGGGGAACATTTTCTGGATTACAAGAAGTAATAATAAACCTAACTCATCTGTTTACTTTTTCCCCAACTTTATTCCTCTTCTCAAATCACCTGGATGTAATCTTCCTTGAGAGTCACTGTATTATTTGCCTTTTTCAATTTCCCACTACATACGCACACTGGTGAAAAGCATGAGGACAAAAGTGGCCACAAGAAATCAAAGTAATTACATTAGTAGCCATCTTGCTACATTGTCCCAACAGTAGTATCCCAACTGGGTCTTTAATAAATGGGCATGACTACTGATAACACAGGAAAAGAGATCAGTGTACGTGGCCACAAGAAATCAAAGTAATTACATTAGTAGCCATCTTGCTACATTGTCCCAACAGTAGTATCCCAACTGGGTCTTTAATAAATGGGCATGACTACTGATAACACAGGAAAAGAGATCAGTGTACAAGTCAAACTTGGCCTACTATTTAAAAGTAACAACCAGACAAAGCCATCAATGTGTTCTCTTTTTTATACACTTGTTTCATACGACATCTCCTACTCCACCAACACATTAGACTGTCTCTCTCCTAATCTTTGCTATTCATTTACTTGAAAGGTATTTCCTGTATTACTTTTATGTGTCAGGCACTATGGACATTGTGAGAAAGGGGTGCAAAAGTCTTTGGACATACTTTAAGAGGCCAGAAAAGAAGAAATTTACAGTAAGAGAAGAGCCATCAAAATGAAAACAGAGAGGATGGCAGAGCCAAGATCCTGAAAGCTCTTATGGGCTAAACCACCCCCTCATCTTCCTTTTCATAACAATGTCAAATCCCTTACAAGGATTCTACACTCAGCTTCATATCTAATCCTAATTACTGCCAAAGGACCCATCTGCAAACAATATTCCATCAGAGTATGAAGTTTCAACATGATTTGGGACGATGTGTACATTCAGTCCACAGCAGAAAGAAATGTAATGGAACTCTGGGAATTAAAGCTTCACTCTAGATATTCTTGGGGGTAAAACAATTTGCCCAAATGAAAGCCTAGCATCAGAGAAGGCTGCTGCTTTAGGGAACGGGTTCATTTCTACCATAAGGGCTACACAGCATTTTCCTTTCTGTTGCAGGACCACACAGTCGTGACTGTTGCAAGGCTGGCATTCACAGAAGAACATATGGTTTTTGCTGGAAGAAACCCTGCATGCCACAAGCCCCAAATTTCCTAATAAAAACATCCTGTTCTCTAAGTAAGTTTAGTGAATGTGTTTTTGTTTGTTTTGCTTTAGTTGTTATTATACTTTTTTCTTTTGATTTTTTTTTTCCTTTTCAGTTTTGGTTTACCCCTTACATAGCACATAAACTCCTCCAATGGGATTTTTCTCTAACCTAAGAGATATTTTACCAATAAATCATTTTATAGTTTCATGTAAAATGTGTTTCTCTTGAATGATTTGCCATTCACACTTACATTTTTTTTCTGAGAGAGAGCATGGCCAATCTGTCATTTAAAACTCTGGAGAATTTCTTCATTATAACATAAAGTTTTAGATACCAAAGAACTAGGAAAGTTATACCACAAAATACAAGCAAAAAATTGACAAAAAGCCCATCTGAATTTAATTACTACAGTGCATCAACTCTTCCACTAGTTAGGTACAGGTACCTTTATTTAACTTATCATCAATTAATTTTAGTCACCCCATGATGAACATCCTTAAGTAGAAACCAGATTTAGAACCACTACTATCAAGTTCCTCAAAAATTAAAGCTCAAGGAAAAAGAAGGGTTCCATGCAGTACTTTGGCACCTTATTTGAAAATACAAACATCAATATCATGTTTAAAAGCTAATATTATGCCATTTTTTCTTTTTTCTTTGATTGTGAAAATACCGTACAGAGGGGTTAAAATTACATGGGCAAGATAATGAGTACATTTCTTATCAAGCATTGTAGCCTCCTCCTTTGTTTCCCCTTCCCATCCCTTCCCATCTCTCCCCCACCCACCAGCCAAAGTTGTAAAGTTCGTTTTTCAACATAACATCTTGTACATCTCATTGTTGCAATGGGCCCACCTTTATCCCTATTTAAACAATTTTTCCCATCCCCTCCACAAATTATACCAACATCAAATTTATAAGATGGTTTCTTTGTTGCTTTGTATATCTCTCCCCCACAGTATAACCCCTGCTTTCACTGTATTATGCCATTTTTGTAACTGATGTTTTTAAAAAAGAAATAAGATATAAAAATATAACCAAAACCTTTTTAACGGCCCTATCCCCCCTGAGTTGGCCATTCTTCCTTACGGCAGTTTTGCTTTCCAAGTCAGAGCTTGGACACAGATGAAGTCATGTCTCAGGGTCACCATTTCAGCAACCAGAGGAATGGATCTTGAAGAGATAGGAAGGGATGGGGAAAAGCAAAACTTGTGAAGGAAGGGTGTGTTCTAGAGCGGATTTCCACATTAGGAAATGTGGCACTGGAGTCCCTGTGAAGGAACCCATAGAACTCTGCTGGCATCTTGCCTTAGATGAAGAAGAAACTACAGTACTCAGTCGGCTGATCGTGTTCCCATCTGCTGAAGGCTGACTTGACATGTGTTCCTTCCTAACTTTCAGGCTATATCCAGGACAGCTTTAGTTACAAGCTATAGGAGAAAAACTCCCACGGCTCAGAGACTGGAGGTGGATTGGTGGAGCTCTGCATTAAGCCCAGACTGAGGGCACCTATCCCTCACATGAAGACCATATGTACAGCAGGAATCCTCAAACCATTTTAAAGGGATAAAGAGAAATACCTCAGGATTTGAACATTAAATACACTCGATTGTATATGTTCTTTTTGCTGTTTTATACTTTAAAAATGCCAACATCGTTTTTAGCACAAGCTATTCAAAAATAGAACACAGGTTAGTCTTGATTCTATGGCCACGGTTGTCTAATACCTATGCTATATTATCCATATATAACAAAGATTTCTTTTCTGTCTGTTACCTGACATAAACTGCACAGTATAATACATGCCCTTCTGTAACTTGTTGCAAATCAGATTTACACATGATAATTATGTAGAGATGGCCTATTCATTTTAATGGCCATGCAATGTTATTCTTTTTAGATTTTTATTCTTCAACTTATCTATGCTGTTTTTCATCTAAAATCCATGACTTTCAGTTAGCATGCATTTTTCTGATAATTATTTACAGTTAAAATATTGCATAAGGAAAAACCAAACTGTGCCTGGCTCTGTTATTCTTTAAGAATATAGAGCTCCCCTATGACCCAGCAATCCCACTTTTGGGCATTTACCAAAATGTTCACAAACAAGACCATATTAAAGCTACCAGCACAACTATGTTTATTGCACCATTATTTACCATAGATAAGATATGGAACCAACCCAGATGTCCCTCAGTAGATGAATGGATCAAGAAAATGTGGTATATATACACAATGGAATTCTATGTCTCCATCAGAAAGAATGACATTGCCCCATTTGTTATGAAATGGAAAGACTTGGAA